GCATCGTCGACGCGCGGAGCCCACATATCGGACGGCGGCGGCGTATCGAGCTGGTACGGCTCGGTCCCGGCCGCTCGCGTGCAGCGGAACAGCTGCCGTCGCCGGCGCAAGGGCCGTGCGCATGCGCGACTTCTCCCGCCGCGTACGTACTCGCCGGTCGGCGCGCGCGCTGCGCGTTCGCGCGCGTGTCGGGCGGCGTGCGCGTGCGCTTGTGCGACGTGTGCGCGACGATGGCCGCCGTCCGGCCAGTTTCGGGACAGCCACCGCCGCCGGTCCCTGCCGCCGACCGATTACTGCCGGCCGTCGACGACCACTCGGCGCGCAATGCCTTGGTCACACCGCCCCACCGTCCGTCAGCTCGCGCGCCACCGTTCCACCGGCGGCGGTGCGCGAGTACCGCGAGTATCGCTTAGTAGTGACAAGGCGGCGGTGGTAATGAATCGGGACCAACGGACTTGAACGATGCGCGCCACGGCCGGTGCGGAACGAATTTTTCGACGACACGACACGATCTGTTCATTCGTTTGTTGTTATTGCTGTTGTTGTTGTTGTAGTGTATGGCTAGGTTGTGTCTCGTCGTCGTCGACGCCTCGGTCTGAACGAATACGACGATAAGATATTCTAAGACGTCGTTGTGTAATTTTACCTATTATAATTATTTGTTTAACGAAAATCTCTTTCAGCGCGCCCGTGCGATAAGTTTGAAACGAATCGAAAATAAGTAATACACAATAATACATAATGTGCTGCTCTCACGCGGTGTCGTTTATTGCTGGCCATGCGTGGGAATTAACGATGAGGGGCGAAGGGGAGGTACGCCTCATGTTGATTTTATGGGCGCAGCGACGTCCGTGGCGCAATTCATTCGTAATGACGTTATCGATTAATAATAATATTTTGTACAAAATATCTATCAAGTATTTTATTTCCTTATAGGTGCCCTGGGATGATCGTCGCTAATCTGAACTATCTGTATTGATTATTTTGATGTTTGATGTATCCATTTCATAGGTAACCGCAATCAGATAAAACCAAATTCGGGATCATCGTTCAAATCATATAAATCAGAACGTCGGACCGTTATTTTTACAAAAATTGTAATAATCAATTTAAAACGTGAAAAAGCTAATTTAATAGAATATTGGTCTCGGTAATATATTATATCATATTATTTAAGTTATTTAGTAATAATATTAGGTAAATAACTTGTTCGTGGATTCACTAATGTTAAATTTAAAAATCTATGATAACAGTGATAGCTGTTAATATATCATATTATCATAGCTCATAGAACCACGATTATGAGTTTTGACCTAACTCCTTAGATGATTTTATATTTTAAATCGCAATTTTATTAAAAATAGTTATAAATAAATTGTGATTTATACTGTGCATTTTAATAAAATGAAAGATATGGTTTATTTAAATAAAGTCTGGGATATCTAAACTAAAATTTTATGGTGGCGAGTTCTTACTTGAGTCTTCAAGTCGATATTATTATATTGAATGAACTTGCATTAAACAGAAAGTAATTATTCATGTAATATCATCATCATAAAAACCATCAAAATATTACCAATACTAATTTATGTAAAAAAAGTTTCAATAAACGGTTTAATTGAATGTTAGGCGAAAGTTCATATTCTAAATACAGTACTCCACACCGTATCATATTATTTTTATTTTATGTATTTTTATTTGATTAAAATTAAAATTAATCAATATTCTATCGCCACTAACAATGTGGTCAAACAAATGTGGCAAATTTTCACAACAGAGAGAGCAATACGCAACTTAACGAAGCAACAGCAGTGCGAGGACGACCGCCGCTGTGTCGCGTTACGTACTGTACATCGGCGCTCGGTGCGCGCTGCGTTTTTTTTCTTTTTTTATCTTCTTCCTCGTCGGTGTGCGGTTGTTGTTCGCCCCCGTCGGCCCGGCCTGGGTTTCCCCGCGGCACCGGCGAAAAAAGCCCGCCAAACACGGTATCACGACATCACTGGACCCCTCCAAACCCCCCTCCACCTCGCCCAACACCCCGAGGACGTCGAGCGATCGACCGGGGTGTCCGTCATGGAAGTCAAGAAACGGTACATATGGTCCGACCGGGAGACCGAACACTTCATCCGGCTCATCATCGACATGGGCATGACCAACATGTTGGACAGCAAGAGGTAACGAACATGTATAATAATTAGTGTACCTAATAATAATATAATAATACTGTGGTCGGTGCCGCGACCGTTTGGCGTCGACGACAGTGACATAATGTTATTCGTGTTATTACTGTTTTTGTTGTTGTTGTTGTTGTTGTTGTTATTGTTGTCGTCTTCGTCGTTGTTATCATTATTACTGTTAACATGTCTTATATTATTCGCTTCGTTCGTGTTTGCGCACGCGCAAGCGCAAACGCGCGGCGAGCACCGAATCGGAAATTCGAACGTAACGGTGGTGCAGTGTATCGTCGTCGGTACCGCCGGATGCGGGGATTGGGGTGCCCACCGGAGGGGTTATCGGCGGGGTAGTCGGGACTTTGGGAGACGGAGGGAAAAGAACGAAATTTACGATCGTCGAATATCGCACGGTAGATTGACGATGTCGGTAGGTATTCATTATGATGCGATGGCATTGTGATGATGAAAACGGACGTTCGGTAGATCGGCGCTTCGCAACAATACCGTATAATTATTCCCATACTTACACGATAGTTTTTTGTCGATGTTTATCAATCATAATAATTTGTTATTACATATACATGAGCAAATATTTTAAGATAATAGCGCCGGGAGGTCGCTGTTAATTGTATAGTGTCAGCAATCGCCCCCCCCCCCCCCAAGAAAAAAAAATCAATGTTTTTCGAAAATTTCACAACTACTGGTTACAGCGCATTATTGACACTTATGGGCGGGCACAGTTAATTTTTTTAATTTGTTATTTTTAAACACTTGTATTTTCCTGATAATTAATAGAATTATGTACCATAGTCTGTAAATGTAAGAGAAATATGTGATTTTTTTGTCTATTAAAAATATGGATCACCTTTCGGTATTATCATTTTATACAGTATTTGCTATACATATACCATATTGCTATTGTGTGATCAAATCAAATAATTTACGTCGCCGGTATACAACGTTATTCCCGCGTGTTGATAATAATATTATAATTAGAGTGTAGTTTTCATTCATTTGTTTACGGTTTATACTTAGTGGTTGCTGTAAACCGTTTGTAACTATTATAACCAGGGTTGCAAAGTGTTTTAAACATGTGTTTAAAACGTTTTAAACAAATGGATTTGTTTTAAACGTTTTATATATAATCGTTTAAAACGTTGTAAACATGTGGATTTGTTTTAAACGTTTTATATATAATCGTTTAAAACGTTGTAAACATGTGGATTTGTTTTAAACGTTTTATTCATAAACGTTTAAAACGTTTTATTCAAGACAAAAAAAAATAAAAAAACATTTTTAACAAAAAATGGCGTTTAAGACAATGTTTAAAAAAATTAAAAAACGTTTTAAACAAAAAAAAAAACATCGTTTAAAACGTTTTAAACACATTAATAAAAAACATTAAAAAAAACTTTTTTTTTGCAACCCTGATTATAACTATTATCGTTTATCCACGGTTGTTAGTGAATTTATTTGTATTTGTGGATATCATTGAACCGCACTGCACTGAGATACGTTTTCCATAGATAAGCTCGGTCGGGTTTTAATGTTGAATAATCAATAGTTTTCTAGAATTTAATTGTATATTATGACAGATTATAAAAAACATTCGAGTTGTAACAACACACGTATGCCATTATAGTTGTAATATATACCAATTATTACAATGACATAGGTGCGCAGCAATGCTGCACTATAAATACATGAATATTCATATGCTCTTGTCACTTGCCAATGTGATATGCTTCTTGGTTACTTGTATTATACTTAAATAAGTGACGTATGACATTATCATATTATTAAGCATTGTGTAAAATTATACTAACATTACTCCGATTAGGTGAGTGTTAATATAACGCTTTAGCACACAGGCAAAGCGTAAATAATACAAGCTGGTGAAAAAATGACATGAAAACAACACCATTAATATACTAATTGCCAATCGATACAGCACTAAATATCTTTACTAAATACTTAAGCTACGATTGAAAACTAAAGTATTCATTTGGTGATTAGTTTTAAATTATACATCGTTAATATAATGTACAGTTATTCAGTAGGTAAACTATATGTTGACATAAATTTATTACAAATAAATCGAAGAATTTAAAAAAAGTATTTAGTCAGGTTGTGATTTTTTTTGATAATAGCAGTGGTTTTATCATAATCTATTAAAAAAAAAAAAAAAAAAGATTATAATAATTAAAATATAACATTTTTCTTACTACTTATTTAATAAAAACAACGAGTTATTAAACATTAATATATCGATTCAAACCATGAATTGAGATAATCATTTAGGATACACAATAAATTCTTATCAGTTGTTATAAGAGCTTTATTTTAACCATTTAAGGTTGCTCTGGCAAGTTTTGTACTATTAACGTATTATCCTTTACACCATAATATTAATTTTTTTTAATCAAGAATGTTCAGCGCTTGATCGTTTGTGATATTATAGGAATATATGAAATAATGTATGTATTAATAGTTAATAATTATTTACATTACGTATTGTCACTTGCCTACTTCACTGTTTACGTTTTCTCTTGTAAATTATAATTTATACATCAAAATTAACATAACACAAATGTCTTACATATCTAAATATTCTGTATCCTTAAATCTCTTGTCATTTCTCTAGAAGTATCAATAGGATAAAAAAATAATTAAAATAAGGATTAAAATGTTCGCCACTGGTTGGTTATTAGCGCTCTGTGTCTATTCGATGAATGATAATTTTTAGAACCTATAGTTTAGTTGGGATACAATTATTGTCTAGGTAAAATATAAAAGTCATAAGACTATAAGTAAAAATAATTAAGAATTATAATTAGCTAATTGGATGACAAGCTCTGATGATGATGACATTATAGGTATTAGAGATATCTTAACAATTCATCAAACTTCAATAATATTGGCATAAATAATATAAAAATCGAATACTGAAATCCTAGATTGTCACGACGGTGGATTGTAAAATACCCAGATATAATTCCCGTCAATAAAACGTACTTACAATGCTAATATATTAATTAAACATGTATGTGGTATTTAATATTTTCTTATGAACACGTATTACCATAGAACCCGTCGTTTAATAGAAGTTGGTATGTCGATACGTAATTTTCTAAATCAAGTGCTTATACAATGTTATCAACAAGTAGATCAATTTATGATTCGTTTAATATAGCATGGCTAATGGTTATATTATCTAAACGTAATATTTTGAAGACCTGTTGCTATTATGCCACTGATACATTATAATAATATCACATGGGTACCTTGCCTGATGGCCAAGACATTTGCACCAAATTCCGTCAGAAGATTATGCATAGTCGCATGGATATATGATGAACCATGACCTATAAATGATGAAATTAAAATAGTGTAATCATTATTTTTGAAATGCAGTAGTTAATTAGTAGTTTCCTTTGCAGAGCCAAAACTAATTAAATGTTCTTAGGTTTTTGGTAATGAGGTTGAATCTAGTGAAGTATATATATTTTATCAAGTTACGGGTGTTCGATTGAATATATTATACTCTGTTTATCTAGAGAACACGTGGATTCTGCGCATACATCTATACGCGACACTTTATCAAAACTGGTTCACTATGGCTTGGCAGGATGTCGCATCCCAATGTGCAGAAACCCCGATTTATGTTGGGCTGTAGTATGTCTTTCACTAGACCTAGTATAGTTATATATTTGACCGATTTTTGATAGAACTTCATTTTATTTTTTGACTTTTGGTTATTCATTTTTTAGATTTAAATTTTACAAAGAGTGTAATTTAATGTTTATTATTTACAATTATCAATTAATGGGTACAATCCAATAACACTAGGTTATTATAATATGGATGGTAGATACTTATCCTAAATCTAGAGTCAATTTTTGAAAACATTTAAATTCAGATTTCGCAATTTAGATAACTTAAGATGGTATAATAATATATTGTATTAATCGGTTAATCAAATAATAGTATGCAAGGTACACGTCTGTTAATACACCAACTCGATATTAAGCAATAAGCATTGGCTTATTAATTGTTGTTGACACAATTTTCATCAGGTTATTACATTTAACAATTAACATAAATTTCATAATATTTTATCGTAGGTATTTGTTTTGTATATTTTAATTGTATTGACTCAATTCGAACTATCAACAATCTATTACTTTGAAAAATTTATGTTTCATCTTTATGACCCGTCAATTAATTTTTGTTTATCTGCAGAGTACGAATGAAAATTTAAAATACTCGAGAAGTAATAGTAATAATTATAAATATTTAAATAGTGTTTTATTATTAATCCCCCAAATAAAGCTACATACTACCAACGATATAGTCTATAGAGCATATGAGTAAAGAGCTTTTAGTATTATTTATAATCAATTATTCTTATAATTACCATTACATATACGTTGCACCTACATATATAATATTACAATAATATTTTTAGATACTTAGTTTATTGTATTTTGTATACTTATTGTGTACTTAATGAAAGCGATTTCAATCAGGTAATATACTTGTAAATTTTAATATGGCTATTAGATTATTTTACTAAATACCTATATCTATAACCGTATAAAAGTGATTTTGGCTGCTATGTTATGTGTTTTATTTACTTTCAAGAAGAGAAAATACTTTAAAGATAATGGCCTGTAAAGTCAGTATATGTAACATATTGTTATAATGTGATACGATAAGAACGTGCAATTTCAACACCATTTGTTTCTTAAGTCAATATAATATATTGATATTATAGAATACATTCATAATGAGTTGTATGTAATAGATAACTGTTATTATTTAACAATAAATTAACTGCAATTGTATTAATTAAATGTTGAACATTTTAATTTCATATTATTCTAATGTCAAATGTATATTGCATACATGCATAATACTGTAAGTTAAAAAGTTATTTTTTTTATAAATTATGAATCATAATATGATTAGCCTAATTGAAAAAATTATGAATAATATCTATCTACTTATCCACGTAAAAAAAGTCTAATACTTCTGTTATCTATATGCTATGAGTTTATTTATAGTTTACTTTACATAAATACCTAATTTATAAACTGAAATTATTGCTGGAAGTCTTTTAATAATTTAATAAATCTATTTATAAGATAAAATTAAGTTCATGTTTAATATGTTTATGTAAATATTACATAAATATATTATATTAGTATACATTAGACCAATGTTGTATACTCGTAATTTAAAAATACTATACAGAATACATTAACTGGGCGTAGGTACTCGTTTCGCTTCTTTCATTCATCTCAAGCAGTAAAAATATGACATATTGTAGATGATAATATTATAAATTGCATAAACCATAAACATCCACATTAAAAAATCAACACTTTATAAGCGAATTTCGCATAAAATCTTACTTGCTGATATTTTTCTTAGTGTTTGTATTTTTGCCTTATGCTTAAGAAAAATATTGTTTTTTTATATTTAATAATTTAAAAAAAAAATCTTAAAGTACTAATTATTTTCAATTTTCAAAAATATCTACCCAAGTAAAATATTGAAATTAATATTGTGAAATCGATATCCGATACATTTTTAATTTCTCTAGACTAACTCTTAAGATAATATATATTTAAATAACTAAAAAATAAAAATAAATAAGCTTTAATTCATATAGTGTTTAATGTATCTATTAGGTTAGGTCATAATAGATGATTTTTTATAAAAAATGTAAAAAATATCAATTTATCAAACGAATTATATATTATAAAAACGCATGTATCAATTCTCGATTAATTTAATGTATATGTTATCCAATAATATATTTAATAAACTCATATTAGGAGTAGACAATTAATTTACTAAAACCTATCTTTAAGTTTTTATCTCAACTTATTAACGAATCATTTTAAAATTTACAGATTTTTTGAAAACTTTCTAGACACAATTTATGTACCTAGTATAAAATTAGCCTGTATGGTAAATATTGATATTTGTGATCAAGATTTTTGTGATGATATTTTGTCACATACAGATATATTATTTCGTTAAGTTCCATATATATATATATATATATATCTAATACCTATATGACTAGCTGTTATTAAGAGTATTATTATGTAAGTGTAACAAATTGTTGTTCAAATAGTTTAGAGAAATAATATTCATGATCGATGAATAATATTGTAGATTTTACATTTTATTTATAATTTTCCGACAAAACATGACAGTACAAAAAATTCAAGTAAAATGTCCAGTTGTATTTTTACAAGCTGTATAGTTCCTTCATGCTTATTTTCTACTGTTTCAGCCACTGTAAGCGCTTTCCATTTCTTGTGAGTTTTGCATGGTTTATTATTTTCGAGTCCGGACCGGATATACAGTTATAATCTGAGCGCTCGTTCGAGCAAGACCGGCATATTTTTTTTTCGTTTTACTCGTTCTTAAACCGGACAAGACTACATTTTTCTACACACCGGGAAGAAATTAATACTAGTATATGTGTACAATGTACTCATTTCTGGTTATAAATACTTTTAAATCAAATTCTATGAGCCATCTTCATACCAATAGGTAATCTTATAAAATGAAATAAATATCAGCTAATAGGCATATATACTATATAAATAATAATATAATATTATTATTAATTTTATTAGATAAATTAATTTTGTATTACTTAATTGATTAATTAACAAAACCATAAATTTTATTGTTCTTAAAAAATTGATCGTCTTTAATTTGTAGATATTAATGGATACATGAACAATTTAGTATAGTAGTTATTTTATTCTATTTATATATTAGATTATTTACGTATATGTATAGGTTCGAATCTCGTTGTATTGAATATTTTCGTGTTTATTTTTAGTACTGAATACTCGAAATACTTAATTTAATCATTTCTCTTTGCTTGAATATAAATTTTATTTAGGAATTATAAAATACTTATTAATTTGATTTATAATAAAAAAACACCTATTTCCAATTTTTTAAGACGTCAGTTTTAATATTTATGCGTGAAAGCAATATTGCAATAATCAATAATTATACTCATATATGACTTCATAAAGTGAAAGTGTTATCAGTATTGACAAGGGAAAGCCAATGATTGAGGCTGTTAAGACTATTTTATGTTATAGAAGTTGTTTGATGACATGTAAATTTGTACTCAAAAATGTAATTCAGCATGAGATTATAAGTAGACTAATATTTAAAATACAAAATCCCGTTTTTAATATTTTGAGTTGAATTAAATTTTAAAATATTTTATTTTATAAATCGTAAAAATTGTTAAGTATAACTTAATGAATTTGTATCTAAACCGGTTGAATCTCCTAATATAGTAATGTAACAAAAATGTGCCTACTGAAATAAAAAATTCCATTCATTTTTGCATTTTTTAGCTGATAGTTTGATAAAGCATAAATAAAATGTTTTAAAATAATTTATACTCAAAGAAATATAATAATGACTAATTACCAACTTGAACGAGGTTAAAACTGATTATTATACGATATTACGATGGTATCAATGACGTATTTTAATGATTCCAGATATGCTAATATTCAATAATTGAACAGGTCTAGTAACGTCCAAATATGATACGCACATAATAGTGTGTGTATTACATCATTTTTTTTATCATATATGTATATATTGGCCAATCGGATAAACTATGTTAAGAATTAAATTGCAATTTAATTAATGAAAATGCGAATAATATTTTATTAAATGATTATATTTTTTGATAGATTATATGTATATATATGTATATCAAAAAAAAATTTCTGATAATAAGAACATATTATAAATAATCATAAATTATTAATATTTAAAATGCAAGTAATGATAAAATACGTATATAATTAAACCATGCACTGATAACATAAATTCAAAATTAAATGCATGATAGGTACACTGAAATATTTGGTTCACAAAATTATCAATAAAATTACTTTTATTTAAATCACAGTATTTATCTTTATTTGAATAAAAAAATTTTAAAGTTGCGTTAACTGTATAGGCACTATTCGTTTTTAGTACTTGATATCTTTATGGTTTTAAATTTATAAAAACTATTTACAAACATTTCAAAACTAATAATCTATTTGTTGTTTAGGAAAAGAAATTCAGATCTTTATTCCAGCTTAGTAGAACCAATGGCAGCTGCGGGTTTCAATAGAGATGCGACGCAACTGAGGACCAAATGGAAACACTTGAAACAAGATTACAAATTAGAGTTGGTGAGAATTGATAAAAATGGTGCTGCGAGTTCAAGGATGTCGTATTTTCATTTGCTTCACGAAGTATTGAGCTGCAAACCGAGCAATGCTATGACGTACCTTTGTGAAGTTGTTTCGAGTAAGTCTTAATAAATTAATCAATATTTCAGTATATTTAATTTTTTGATATCTTGTAAAATAATTACATGATTTAAGTTTCACTCTCCACATCATCAATTATACGGGCTGTCACTGTACCTTCGTAAATTTAATTGCTAGGTTTTTAACCAGGCATACAAAATAATTTATCAATTTCTTTGAAATAAATTGCTATGTTATTTCCAAAATACTAAAATATATTCTATCGTAAAAGATGGTATTTATAAATTTTAAGTAACACTAGTTTAAAATGTTTAAACTGTATACTAAAATAGTATTATACAAATAATTACATACGCAAAAATGCAATATTTCCATTATACTGGTTATGTATGTATTGGTTCAATTCTTTTTATTTTCAATATTTTTAATTGTTGTGCAGTCTTTGGTTGATAAATATAATATATTTTACGTTAAAACTATATAAATCATGATTTAATGTCTGAGAAATCTCCCAAAAGAATTGAATATCATTGATCTAAATTGAGTCTGTATAATTTGTAGATATTAAAAAATATACTTCTTATAATTTCGAGTTCGTGATATGTTATATGCTTTGTCATAGATTCTCCTCCGCGGCACGACGTCGTAGAAGGTATTAAGACTGAATACATAGATGATATGAAAATGGATACAGACTTCTTCAGAGTGACCGAACCGCAAGTCGACATCATTCAGTCGTGCGACGTACAGACGCAGACGGAAGGCACACCAGAACAGCACGTATTGCAAAAGTTGCACGCGTTGGAAAACAGCATCACCGCCCTAAGAGAAGATTGGCAAAGAGATCGGGAAATGCAAAACGTGCTGATGGAAAAACACACAAGACGGATGTTGGAACACCAGAAAACGTTAATGGACAATTTCTTTGCAAAAACCAAATCGCATTTATTAAAAACCAAAAATAAAGACTGAAGCTCGCGTTTTGATGCGTCGTAGAACTCTACTCTGCATCAATGTTTCTCAAAGAACATAATATTATTATTATTATTATTTGATCATACTTACATTATTATAATCGATACACACCTATATTTATAATACCCGATCATGTATAAATATATATATATGTAATAATTACTATTATTATTTTCTTTGTTTTTTTTTATATATTGTGAATTCACGTTAATGTTTAGCATGTGTAAATAATACTTTTGAACCAAATTTAAAACTATATTATAACGTATAATAATAATCTTAAGACAGGACACTTTGATCGGTATATGTATATAATAATCATTATCACAAAGATCAATAAAAAAAAAAAAAATGTATTCATATCAAATATGATATATTATTATTATTGTTATTATCATGTGCCTCATTTGTTGATAATATAATTAAAAGAAGAGAGTATAAAAAACGCGACGCTATCGTGTCGTCTTACGAAACAAAAACGTTACGATCCATGACACGCGGACGGCGATAATAGTGCCACAAAATTCTGAATTCTCGGGCCTATGCTGCAGCAACTAAAATTACAAGACGCCACGTCCACACGTGTTTGTTCTGTCTTACAAACGCGTGTCATAAAGACAATTATTTGCGTTTATTATATCCAATTTTCTATTTTCGACTTTAATATATTCGAAAGAATTGATTCATGGTCAAAGGTAAAAGGTAAGAACACTATATGAACTGTTTTTTCTCGTTGGTTTTTCGTGAGATTTTAATTTTTAATCGAGTTACGAGAATTATTGAATAGTAATATTTCGCATACAAAGTAGGTACTTGCTCTAAAACGCGTTAAACTGTTCAACATAAATTTGGCATTTTATATACGCTTTTAAAACACAAGAAAACTACACGCCGTGCGAGTTTGGCGTCCTCTTTAATTTCAAAGAAGATAATTTTTGATTACGGTATACGAATATAATAATTTAGTTGACATCTTCGCGGCGTACTTTAACCTTTGCTGCGTCACGCCCGATATCCACTACGATGCTGCGAGCATCTATATCTATGCAATATTTTTAGCATCTAGAGTTAACCCCGAATGACGCACGTCACGACATTCCTCAAAATCGAGTGCATAATATGATATTGAAGTTACGCGTCCCAAAATAATTGAAATTAAATATTACGTCTGCAGGTAAGACGCGTTTCTTGTAACAAATTTCATAAACAAAATAAATATTTGTAATTAGGTAATAATTTTTCATCGCGCATTCATACCAAATTATCAGTCAACAGATTCTTGAGAATCATAATACAAAACTACTGACACAAAATTATATAAAAGAGATAAAAAAAAAATTTGTTTGTTAAAAAAAATTTACCTGTTTATAATAATAAAAATATATTTACTAAATACTTACAGCATTCGATTCAGTACTGAAGTTGTTGATAATATATCCAACACAATTAGTTTTAAATTGTAAATAGATAGTAACTACCTTTACTGACTGTAGGTTTATTTTTATTATTACAATTTATTAATAGGTGCCTAGTACACAACATTTGAATAATTAATCAATCCTGAATTGGATTTTCATTCCATTTTACGGGTGGCTACTATAGTTGCGTCCCACAATAAAAATTTCTTCCGAATTGCAGCCCGAGTTTTTTTGGGGTGCATACGAATTGCGGCCCAAAATTTAAAATTAAAATTAAAAAACGCTTCATTTTCCTTCACATTTTTGTACAGACTTAGGACTGTCTGTAGCATCAATAGATACTGCAGGTAGGTTAAAAATGATGTTTTGTTTTTTTTTTAAATGTTGACATTGACAAAAACGTATATAATATTTCTTAAGGTTAATAATATTTTTTGACATTAAATCTGATATTAAAATTAAAATTAAAAATGTTAGTATAATTTAGTAAAATCCGTAAGTATTATAGCACTGATAAAAACTTGCATGATAGTATTTGTATAAATTCATGTTTGTCAATTTGGTTTTCTTCTAACCAATTTTTTGTTTTTTTTATTCTTCTAATAAATGTTTCTTTTTCAATTATATTTGTTCTGCAAGTATTTAAGTGAGTGCTTCTTAATTTTATATAGGTATCCTTTTGCATATTTTCAGAACATCGATGAATACAAAAATATTAGGATGAGCACTGTAGAACAAAGCATTGAATTTTGAATGAAAACCTCACAACTATTGTAGTGTGCATAGTATATGCTGAGTATTCTACCCATAAAAAAGGAAGGAAATTGGACTCATTTGAAATGTATGTTTCCAATATATATTCAACAAATATTTCTACTTTTTCATTTTTTGGTCGAATAGCCATTAAATAATCTGTAAAACAGTAACTCACATCGTTCGAATTCAAAAACAGTAAGCCAAAAAAGTATTTTAAATATTTACCAATTTCGGTATTTTTTTATACTCACTACTTAAGCCAATTGTCTGTATTTTTCTCCACCAACTTTGTGCTAAGTGAAATCGGCATCCTTTTAAACTTATAGAAGGTCAAACTTTTAATAGAGCTAAATGAATCGCCTTTTTAAAATCAGCAAAAACTGTTTTTGGTAAATATGTTATGTTGAGTTTGCTACATTCAGATATGATGTGCATAAATGCATTTTCATATGTTTTAGTTTATTGAGAAGTATAAAAAATAAGAGTGATAAATAATTACCATTTTGTAAACCATGAACTGTAAAAATTTGAGAAAATAATTTCGGACAACTTTTAAAGGTTCCATCTACAAAAATTATATCAACTTTACTTAAAAATTTTAAATTAGTTTCAGTAGAAAATAATAAAATATTTGATGTATTGTCGTTTACAAGTAAAAAATTTTTGTCACGATTTGTAATTAATAAATGACTCATATTATCTAGAGCGATATGTAATTTATTCAAGTCCACAGGTAACTTTGGCATAATAGATGATCGAGCATGGTGAATACTTTTTTTTATTAACGTTAAATCTTATGTTGTCAAAGTACCTACGTCTTGTATTAGATGGCTATGAATAATTTTACTTGGCTTCTCATTAATATCATCAACAGCTTTACGTTTCACTTGATTACTTACAGTCTGCCTGTTAAATGTTTCATCAATATCTTTTTTATGGTTTTCATGATTTAAAACTTGTTCAATAATTACGTTATTATTTAAATTAATATATGCTGTACAGGTCTTTTTAGTACAGCAATATTGATCAACATTATTTTTAAATTTTTATGAAAACGAAATTTATATCCATCGATTAAAAATAAAGTGCGATTTTTTTCACTCTAAATTGTATTCGACATTATAAATAAATCAAAATAGAAAAGCGACGAAACGTTCTTAGCGTTAATAAAGCGACGACTAATGTATACTTATCGGTATTTACATTATACTGTGATTATATTTTATCAGTCAAGATTAAATTATCTAAAATTAAAAAACCCAGGCCGCAATTCGGATTAGACCATTTTTCATAGATATCTTTGGGACGCAACTAGTATGCAGCTCATTTTACTATTATTTTTACAAATTATGAAGGTCACTGGTTGCTATGATGAAAACTATTTTTATTTTAGATGCAATTAATAATTAAATATTTTTTGGTAATTCCACTCCTCGTACGCACGAGTTGACTAAAAAGTTTAGCCCTATTATTAACTTATGTAACATCAGATGAATTGCTTAGCCATAAGTATACACTATACAGGTAACAGATACAGCAGTATGACAGTATAGCTACGAAAAATGTACGCACAAAATATTAAGTAATATTCATAATACTTTTATTTCCTTTAAAAATCATATTATGATGAAATCGACATTGTAAGATTATTGTGGATACTTAAGTCGTTAAGTGACTTTCGTGCCCACGTATGAAACATATTATGTCAAAATAATACAAATTAAAATATACTATTAAATTAGAATAAAACACCGAAAAATAAACAAAAATATTTTCATATCAATAATGTTTTAATTTTTAATTTTTTTTTTAATAATATATATTTTAGACATACAATAGTACAATACATACGATTTAAAAATAAGTGATAATAAATATATATATATATATATATATATATATATATTTAAAAAAATGCATAATAATTATTAATAATAATATATTAATATATTAAAACAAGGATTAATTTTTCAAATTTAGCCTTACACTCTTAAATCTAAATATTCAGAAAATTATAATTCGTTTTTGTTCAGTCTTAGAAATTTCATATTATTAATATAACAATCATATCCGTATTTTATAATATGGGTTGTAAAGTCGGTTGTGCAGCAGGTATATAATATTATTTCTATAGCCGATATGGAGTCAAGACTCACGGATATACAAATTATACGACGCATAATATACGCTACGGCACGTCGGCGACTGACAGCTGCTCTCGCCATGCCTCTCAATTCTGCGATGTGTCAAGTCAATAAGGCATATTATATTGTATTTATATACACAATACGTATACATAAATATTACTATGCTCTATACACCGACATGTATACTATTCGGCATTCTCCCCCGCCACCAAAACGATACGCTTATTGTTTGTAAGAGTGTATACCGCATGCAGATAAATTGACTCTTTAATTTTAGTATATACTTATATAATACTGGGTGATTATTTTACCAAACAACATACATTATTTCAAAACCTATTAATATATTTATAAATATTTTTTCTTACATAATTTCCAGTTGAAATTAAACAACATTTTTTTTTAAAGAAAAAATATATTTTAATTATAATTTTTCAAATTTCTTACTTTTTGAATGTTAACACGCGTTTTCAATTTCATATTCCGAAACAGAATATTTTTTTGAGTATTTCGATACATAAAAATCGACTTGAGTATTTCAAGTTTAGATGAACGAAGTAGTAAACCAATATTTTGTAGTATCCTTGTACCGCTCTATTCCGCTCACCTAAAATTAAATACTTAAAACTCAAAAATTACTCGCCAAAATTTTAATTATGTATCGAAATACACCAAAAAATATTCTTTTTCAGAAAATGAGATTAAAAATGCATGTTGTTATTCAAAAAGTTAAAAACTCCAAAAGTTAAAACATTTAAAAATATTTATATATTTTAAAATAATGAGTGTTGTTGAATAAAAG